TTAAAACTTTTTTTATATGCTACAAAAATATTTCAAATTGAAAAAAATCATAACATAGAAATAGTAACTTGTTGTTTTTGGTTACATTTATGTATATGTATACATATAACAAATACAAATATAAATCTACACAATAAACCTACGAAAGTCAAATTTTTAAATATTGTTATTTTTAGTTATTATGCACAAAAATATTGTTAAGATTTTAGTTAGAAGAATCTAAAAAGGAGCAATTAAAAACCTTTAATTGGTTATTTCTCTTATATTCGAAAATACAAATAAAAAATAATAACAAACAAAAAGGCGGTGTGCTTGTAACCAGGGCAGTGCTTTGTTCCAGGCTGTTCATTTTTTTAAGCTACAATAAATGCTATACTACGAGGAAAAATGAAATAATGAGCATTTTTTTTTTGAAGTATTGAGTTGATTTTTCTGCATTTTTGTAAATTTGGGAAAGTTTACATTTTAATATTAACAAGTTTGTTAATGTATGATATGTTTCCCAGTGATATAATCTTATATAATATACTTAAATATAATATATCTTATATAATCACAAAAATATCTATATATTTTTCATGGGTATACTGTTACAAACCTAAATTCTAATTTGAAATCTAATAAAATTTTTATTTAATTGATTTTATTTCGTGTATTCTAGACTAAAAAATATAGTACCAATTTTGTTTTATTCAGTGTATTACCATTTTTACCGACCGTATTGTGTAAACAATAGGTAGGTTATGTGATGGCAACAAATTTTGCATATCGAGTTTTCGGTGGGAACATACTTCTCCATAGTAGGGAAGTGTAAATAAACTATTTTTAGCAACCTGTCGGTCTGTCGGTCTGTCGGTCTTTCGGTCTGTCGGTCTGTCCGTCTGTCGGTCTGTCTGTGCACGCGTGTATCTCAAGTTCGGCTGAACCGATTTTGATGAAATTTTATATGTAAGTTTGTTTCCACCATGGCACGGATCGATCAACTTTTGGTATATATCAGGCCTCGGGAACTGCACTTTTTAGCGGGCCTGTTTTACATTTTTGAACATTTTGAAGAAAATATTCAACCGATTTACTTGAAATTTTATATATAAGCTCAGCTCGACCGTCCGCAAAAGTTCGTATGTTTTGGAAGAAATCAGGCATCGGCAACTAGACGTTTACTACGGGCCAAATATACATTTTTGTGTATATAAAGAGAAATAATCAACCGATTTCATTGAAATTTAATATATGAACTCCTCGTATTAAAACAATGAACATATAAATTTTTTGGAAAGATCAGGGCTCGAAAACGGATTTGCGGGCCGATTTTACATTTTTCACCATTTTGAAGAAAATATTCAACCGATTTACTTGAAATTTCATATATAAGCTTTGCTCGATCATACGCAAAAATTATCGATCATACGCTCGATCACAAAGCGAAACTCTACTAAGAGCCAAATTTACATTTTTCTAAGTATGTTAACTATAAGCTTACTAATGTCCTAAAAATTGGAAAGAAGTATTTAAAAGACAATTTTTATAATATTCTGTAACACTTTCATTTAACTAGACAATACACAATGCGGTCGGTTATGTGCTGACCACATCAGATTTTTTTCTTTTCAATTTTGCATATCTAGTTTTCGGTGGGAACGCACTTCTCTATAGTAGGGAAGTGTAAATAAACTAAATAATTTTAGCAACCTGTCGGTCTGTGTGTGCACGCGCGTATCGCAAGTTCGACTGAACCGATTTTGATGAAATTTTATATGTAAGTTTATTTCGACTATGGCACGGATTGATTAACTTTTGGGATATAATAGGTATCGGGAACTGCACTTTTCAGCGCGCCTCTTTTGCATTTTTGATCATTATGAAGAAAATATTCAACAGATTTACTTGAAATTTAATATATAAGCTTCACTCGACCGTCCGCAAAACGTCTCAACATTTGAAGAAATCAGATGTCAGCAACTGGACGTTTACTACGGCCCAAATATACATTTTTGCGCATATACAGAGAAATAATCAACCGATTTTATTGAAATTTAATATTTAAATTTTTCGTATTAAAACAATGAACATATAAATTTGTTTTAAATATCAGGGGTCGGAAACTGTTCTGAGGGCCGATTTTACATTTTTTTCCATATCTACGGAACGAATTGATGGAATTTCTTGAAATTTGATATTTGAGTAGAAATTTCAGGGAATTGGCCAGCATTTCAGGGAATTCGGGAAGCACAAAGCGAAAATCTTCTACGAGCCAAATTTAAATTGTTCTAGGTATATAAGCTCACCCTAAAAATTGGAATAAATTACTTAACAGGCATTTTTATAATATTCTGTAACACTTTAAGTTAACTAGACAAAACACATACCACGTCAGCTCTTTTTTTCATAGAAAACTCCAAATGAAATTAAGAAAAAACTATCATTTTTTTTCAAAAATTTGCCAAACATGCATTCACAAAAAAAGGAGGGTGCAGACTTTGATATTTTTCTTATATTAAGTTATTATAATATTGGTAATACAATATCGATATTGCATGTCTGTCAGCGGTATTACATGCATAACAATTCCCAAATGACGTTTATGCAATTTTCAAAACTAAACTTTTTGCTATACTGTGATTAATTGACACTTAAATTGTCCATTATTTTACATGTCACTGATTAATCACTATGTCAGAATTTATGTAACTTTAACGGTAAATTTTGTTTTATTAGTGAACATATATTTTGTATTATAAGTGATCAAATTCTGAAAATACCTATCAGATATAACAATATTAACTACTTCGAAAAATAAAACCGAAAGTTGACTTACATATTTTGAATATTTTGATAAATGGTTCATTAAGAATCCGGGAATTTTTTAAAAATTTCAGAATCAGAAATATTGAAAATTTTCTATAATGTGCTTAATACGTATGCTTCATTCAGCAAGTTTGGAGAAAATATAGAAAAAAAAAGTAACCACTAATTCAATTTTATTATAGATAGTATTTAAATATTGGTTTCTAATACAATTCACAATTTTTTCGCGATCAGGATTATTTTTTCCATCGAAACGGCTAAAAAAATATATCCTGCATAACAACCCTGTGTGCAAAGCGGCATAAAGCCATCACCCATATTCTGCTAACCGCATCACTGACGTAAATAAGATCTATCACGTCACATCAACTCAACTATCAACCACATTCTGTTAGTCATGTCACTGACGTGATACATTTAATTATTAAAATAAAACGTATAAACATTGTTTTAGATTTCCAAAGTACTTCGAAATTTCCAAAAATAAGTTTTAAGCTTTTACTTAAGGAAATACGAAAATAATTTGCAAATGCTTGTTTGATTATCTCGAAAAACCTTCGGCTATGTCAGCATTGTCTACCATTAGTCTTATTAGAAACTCAAATTGCTCATATTTGTAATTTTTTTTTTGTTCTGAAAATACAAAAACACCTACTATCAATATAAAAATTAGTAGAGTAAAATTTTTACTATAATATTAATTAAATAATTTTTATAATTACTTATTCCGCCGATTTTTTCTTTTATTTATACATTTAACCTAGGAAAACGCTGATGAGGCAGTCCATCAAGATGATAAGAAATGACTATCACGTCGAATGAAAAGTTTAGCAGAAAACGAAAACACACGATAATTTTGAAATTAGTTGTCATGTGGAGATTGGTCCCACTTTCGACCATCACGTTTACGACTACTATAATATATAGACGTGATTGTACCACTTCATGCGATACTACTCCCACAATATGGGTGCATGCCTTTCTAGCAGTCGGGTTGGTAGAAGTGATAAAAAAAATTTTTCAATTGGCGATACTAACAGTTGACGTGATGTCAAGAAAGGCATGAAAAACATTTTGATTACATAATATGTACGTATATACGAAGGCCTTTGGATGTATCGGGAGTGACTACTCTAATTTTATTAGAAGCTTGAATTGCTCATATCTTTTTGTTTGAAAAAGAAGCAAAATTTTATACCAAAATTATCAATATAAAAATTAATTGAATAAAATTTTATTATAAAATTATTTAAATAATTTTTATAACCAATAACTTCATGAATTTTTTCTTTTTATTCAAACATATAGACTTGAAAACCTAAGTCTGGTCTATAGAATGCAAATATTAAGATCGTAAAAAATAACTGTCAAATAGTATGATCAGTCACGTCTACGATTACCAGAATAATAACAATTAGACCATAGTATTATTTTATTGGATATTACACCAGAATAATCAGTCTTAGGTTTTGGAATTGCTTTAGAAATGTATTGTATTGAATTGAATGTTGAATTGCTTGTTGAATTGCTGAATGTTGAATTGAATATGTTCAGAAACTTTAAAATTAAATTTCTCAATACTATTTTTCAAATTACATAAGTACATATTAGGGATGTAGCTGTATACATATGAATAAATATAAATTTTAGAATTAAATAAAAAATCTTGCTAAAAGTTACGCTTTCACTTATTGTTCCTTTGCTGTAACAATAGCTTAAAAGTTATTTAACAACTTCTGAGTTATTTCTACAGAAATAAGCGTTTGAAACATTTTTCTTTTTTTTAAAAAACACCATTCCTCTAGCTTGAAAACTTTTGCTTGCAATAAAATATAAAACACTGCTTTAGCGAGAAAAATATGTATGTATGCATGTATATTGGCCCGAAAACTTTTTTCACACGTGCAAATTTTGATTACATACATATACATATACATAATATGTCAGTGTTGCAACAAATGAGTATTATGTCTTCATGAAATAATATTCATTTTTAATATAAATTCATTAAATATATAAATGTAAGTTTTTGAGTTTTATAAAACATTTTGTATTCACAGTACGATACAAAAAACAACCACACAAATTTTGTTTCTTTCTCGATCATTCGTTATTTTAAACAGTTTCAATTACTAGTTTTAAAACACATTATGTTATATAATTAATAATTCTATATATAGAGTAGACTTTACCTCTATAACGATATTATGTAATCCAAAGGAATTTTTTCACTTTCATTAAAAATTAATCAATTAGTATACATATTTAGGTACAACTGGATATAAACACGTACACACACAGGTATAAGAAGAAATTTTGTAAAGAAAAGTTTGTTTTATAAAAACAAAAGGTTGAAATTAAAAATACGAATAGAAAGATTATACGAATTCACATAATTATGTATGTATATATTCATACGTGTATAGAAACAATGTGAACGCGATCTTAAGAATTAGAACGAAACGACCAGATCACTGGTTTTACAATTACTGAAGTTCAATAATTTTAAAATTTAGTAAAAATTTTATTTTATTGCTGTTGACATTCAATTTTCATTCTGTTTTATTTTTCTTTCTTTTTAATATACTTATTGAGAACCTATTTAATTTGTATATATGTATGTAATATATATCTAGCGATGTAATCAATATATGTACATAAAATACGCTAAGCTAATATGTAAGCCTGCATATGCATATATAAGTAGATATGGATACAGAGTAGATAAAATTTGAAAATGGATTTGTACAAACGTATACATATTTGATTTTATTTAATGGATGAAAGTAAGTTTTGAGCAAAGTATATTTATTTTATAAGTAATTCGACTCATCCCAAACCGTTAGTTTTCGTTCGCTTTCCACTTCCACTATTCTGAAAATTTTCCATTCCTATTCAGAAATAGATGGTGATTAGAGTTCTGTGGGCAAGAAATAAACAAAAAATTGTAAGCAAACGAGTGTATCAACAACAGCGGGCTGAAATAAAACTAAAATTAAGTTAGGTAAAAATTTTTATTTTCATAAAAACAAAATTGGTTTTTTATAAAAGTTAGGTAAAGACATTCGAATGTATGAAAAATTTCATATTCTGTTTCTATATTTCATATTGCCCACTAGATACACAGTATCTTATAAGTATATACTCACCGTTGTGGCTTATGGTTATGGACCAGCTACTTCTGAGATTAGAACGATCAGGATTCGAACGCATTAGCTATGCTGATGACCTGGTTGCGATGGTTCAGGGTAAGTTCGAGACTACAGTGTCAGAGCGCATTCAACTAGCTCTGGATGTAGTTGAGGACTGTTGTAAGGGGGCGGATTTAAATGTGAATCCGCAAAAAGTAAAGTGTGTCCTTTTCACCAACAGGAGGGGCAATTTTTATCTCATAAGACTTTTGTAGAGCTATAGTAAGAATTCTTTAAGAATATTGCACTTATAATTTTAATCTTGTAGAACACTAAAAGACCCTAATGAGATCTTTATGAGAGCAAAAGAACGCAATTACTAGAGTTATTAATTCTTGTAATGAGAGTTAAGATCCCATTAAAAGAGTTTTTAAAGCAAATAACTCTCATACTAGTTTTGGTATACGAAAACTCTCGCCATTTATAATAGTGGTACTAGAAAGAGAAAGCAATACATTGTAGAGTAAATAATCGGTCTTCCTTCGAACTTTATAAAAAATATATCTATTCCACTTTTAATAATTATTTTTTTAACAAAAACGAAACAAAATATATATATGTTTACGTATATGATATGTAATCAATAAATATTTGTATTCAAAAATTTAATATCATACAATTATAAATATGGGAAATTAAAATAAGTTGTTTGCCATGATTATAAATCAAAAAGTTGCTGGCATTAAAATTTTATTAATAAAAGTTGATATTGTAATAATTTCTGTATAATAAATATTTTTCAAAATTCTTTCCAAGAAAAAGAATTCTCAGTCTCATTGGGGTTAAAATTTAGATAAGGAAAAATGACAATACTAAAATGGCCGTGCCTAACAACTAGACCTATATTCTTAAATTCTTTTAAGAACAAAATTCTATAAGAGTTGACATCTTGTAAAAAATACTTTATGAGAATTAAAATTTTTTATGGCTTGCTGAAAGTAGTTTTGCTATGGGAGTAGCAGAATTTTTAACACTACAAGTGCTAAGTCTTTATTATAAAAATCTTACGAGAGATGTATAAAAACAAAAAAAAGAAAAAAAAATTATGAGAGTATGGAGTGTGGTGTGAGAGTTCTATGAGAGTATGAGTACTCCCTTGCATTTGCATGTTGATGGCGTTGCGGCGACCAGAGCTGCAAGACTAAGGCCCTCAGAATACATAGAACGTGGCTCGACGGGCCATAACTCCACCCTGGAGGAAGTTGGATTGGATGGAGAACTCCTGGAGGCGTCGGACTTCTTAATCAACAAGATTAAATGCGGGAGGAACTTTCAGGTAATTATACCTGAAAGGGAATCCGTCGAGGCAATTATAGCCTCCTTGTTGGATCAGGCATCCGTGTGGTACACGGATGGCTCTAAAGGCGATCGCGGCACGGGTAGTGGTGTATACGGCCGCAACTATAGGTTCTATACGCCTTTGAGCACTAGGCTACTGGCCGTACAGGAATACCTGGAAAAGAGGAGGTCGATTATCTGGCGAAGTTGGGGGCAAATGCCTCTTTGACCATTCTATGAGGGGTATTGGCCAGATCGTGGCTGCCAGGGTGGAAAGGCGCGCTTCGGAGCTGTGGCGCACTCGTGCGGGGCTGTCACAATCCATAGACTTCTTTGGTCAACGGATCGCGGGCATTCCTGACATTGTAAGGCGTGGATTCTATCGTGGTTTGTCGCTGGGCAGGGGCCCTTTAACTCATATTTACAAACATTGGCAGATCAAGTGCGCAGCGATATAGATTCTGCGAGCGGGGCACGGAGGACTCCACTCATGTCCTGTTAGAATGTGATGGCTTGGCCCGCTTTAGATACAGATTTCCCGCGGCCTTGGACTTGGATTCTCATGAATCGTTGTGCATTTCGGACTTGTTAAAATTTTTCGGGAGCCTTAATATTGAGTTCTAATGATCTGGCGCGGGGATGCACAAAAGACCTGTATGTTCGAGGCGCTGACTAAATTCGTCCCATACGTAACGTAACAAAACATATATGGCTGCTTTAAGCCTATTTTATGCTATTTTATGTCCATATAAACGTTACTTGACTTGAAGCTGGCTTCACTCAGGTCATTAAAAAATTTGCTTACTTGACTGGAAATGTTAATATGATTTAAAATGTAAAAACTAAACCTCATTTTTGAACTCACAAACTGACAAAATACTTGTAAGTTCGAAAGTGCAGCTTGAGTTTTAACCTTATTTCAAATCAAGTTGTAAAGCTACAATTTATTGAGGTGTAGAAGTAAAGCCATTTGAAATTTTTTTATCTTTTTATAGGTTATTTTTATTATTTTTTTAAATTTTATATAAATTATAATTATTTTGTTTATAATCAATTTTTATACCCTGCACTTCGTGAAGGGTATATTAACTTTGGTATGGAGTTTGTAACTACTTGAAGGAGTCATCTGCGGTATGAACATATATATTCTTGCTCAGCGTAAAATCCTGCATCGATTTAGACATGTCCGTCCGTCCATCCGTCCGATCGCACGATCGTTCGGGTAGCTGCCATACAACTCCAAAAGCAATTTTTTTATATTCGGCAAAATAATAAAGTCAAATTCATTAAACTTGGCAGTCATGTGTCTAATTATAGGTCAAATATATTTCTGAAATTAATGGAATTGCTTGACTGGTTCGGCCACCTGCCATACAACTCCAGAAGCTAATTTTTTATATTCGGCAAAATAATAAAGTCAGGTTCATGAAACTTGGCAGTCATGTGTCCAATTATAGGTCAAATATATTTCTGAAGTTTTGGTGGAATTGCTTGACAGGTTCGAGTAGCTCCCATACAAGTCTAGAAGCTTACTTTAAATATTTGGAAAAATAATAAAGTCAAATTCATGAGACTTGGCAGTCGTGTGTCCAATTATAGGTCAGACATATTTGTAAAGTTTTGGTGCGATTGCTTGACAGGTTCGAGTAGCTCCCATACAAGTTTAAAAGCTTATTCTTAATATTTGGAAAAATAATAAAGTCAGATTCATGAAACTTGGCAGTTGTATGTCGAGTTACAACTCCAAAAGCTAATTTTAAATATTTTGAAAAATTATAAGGTCAGATTCATGAAACTTGGCAGTCGGATGTCCAATTATAGGTCAGACATGTCCGTGAAGTTTCTATAGAATGATTTCACAGGTTCGAGTAATTGCTACACAATAACGAAAGGTACAGGGTATAATTCAATCGGTTTATACCGACTGAAACATTTTTACTTGTTATATTTAATATTTTTTAAATCTATAATTTGTATGTATCATTTGTCGTCTTTAAAATGCTTTTTGTGCGCCTATAAAATGTTTAATATTTTTCCCTATACTTTGTAATAAGAAAATAATGCTTTTGTGCTCCCTTAATACATTATAAAGAAATATGTCAACATCTATCGCATACATTTTCCTTCTCCCAATAATTCCTATGTGTATAAAAATGAAAATAAGAAAATATACTGCTTATCTCTTTTAGCTAAGCGAATTTTTTTTATACGAATATTGATGCGTGATTGCATTAATATGATGTAAAAGCAGAGTCGAATTACTTATAAAATAGATATACTTTGATTTTAGTTTTAAATCAGTCTTACGTTTTTGTACAATACGAATAATTTAAAAGTCACGAGACAAAAATTAAAAAATAGCTCAGTTAAATTTTTATTTCGTTTAATTTTAATTCATTTATAAGGCTGTGTAGAATTCTCAATCAATCAATCAGAGAACTACAAAAAAAGACATATAAATTTAAAAACAAAGCAAGACCGATTTTCCGCGGCGAAATCCAGAATTCATATAAAATGTACATACACATTTCAGGTTGGAATCAAGCGAAACTATGGCGGCGAATTTAGCAGCAGACGCTAAAATACTTTAAGTCCTATTTTAACGTTGGCTGTTTTTTTTGACATCATCTGTTTTCATAAGTGTCTGAAAATTTATGCAAAATGCTGTACACGGGATTTGCGGTTTCGTTATTGCTCTGAGGTTGACAACGGAAATCAAATGAAATAAAAGAACGCATGCCAGTTTCTAAGTTATTTTTAGGCGACGTCAAACTATATGTTATGAAATAAGTACGAGTTGTCAAATAATAAATATATAATAATTTTATAGGAAAAGACATGCTCAGGTTCCTTACATCGGTTCCTTAATTTGTACCTTACATCGCAACTATTTTGTCATAGATTTATTTTAAATAGATTCTTAGTAACAAATACATATCATTTTCGAATGTATGTATGTATTATCCCAGGAATGAAGAGCAACAAAAAGAAGTACAACTCAA